CCTGCTTTACTGAAACTTATATATTGCTCTGGAAGTTGTACAATAGCGTTTTTACTCACAGTCTAATTGAGAGAATCATTTATCGATTTCTACACAGCTTGTACTCATACTCATATTGTATTGACCGTATTGACTCCATATGAGTACAGTGGTATTGGCGTTTTGATTTGGCAGAAGCTTGTTAATCTGACTTATACTTGGCAGTGGCATAGCTCCTTAGAAGCAGTGCCAAACACTTACAAACGTCACTAACGGCATAACTACAGTAAAAAGAGAACCATAGGCTTCAGTCTCAGGAGCAAGTTCTTACACTTACAATGCGCTGCAGTTATTTAGTGTACCCACTAGCTCTCTAAACTTATCCCTTATAGCAGAATACTGATCGTATCTTTACTAAAGCTCCTAAACTTCTCTAAATTTCTGGTTTCTTCTGTCCCAAGATCTAGGCATAAATTCTCGTCACTCTTCCGCGCACATTCATCTCCTCCACACGAGCCTTGCTCTACATTTTACAACATCTAACAACCCAAATACACCCACTTTCACTTTCAAAACAACGGTAAGGAATTACTGCCGCTTTTCTCAAGTGTCAATAGTATTCAGACTGATGCTATTCACAGCACGACGCTACCATGGCCGACCACAATAAGAAAGAGCCCACTGCCGCCGAAGCCATGCTTTTCTTCAGCATTGTCAAGCACACTCGAAACAAGGCTGATGTTGACTGGAACGCTGTCGCCTCTGAGGCTGGTTTCAAGAATGCCGATGTCGCCAAGGTGAGTTGCCATCCTCCTCTTTTGCCCATGCCACCGCATATCATATCATGATCAACTCTATCATCTGAATTCGTATACTGACTCAAAAATCACAGGTTCGCTTCGGTCAAGTTAAGCGTAAGCTCGGCATCTCTACTGAGACTACTGCTCCCAGCCGCGGCCCTGTGACTCCCAAGAAGACCGCTGGCGCTCGAGTCACCAAGACTCCCCGTAGCGGCAAGGGCAGATCAAAGGTCAAGAAAGAGGCTGAGGCCGTCCTCCTGCACGATGAGGATGAAGACGAGCTGGTTAAGGCAGGCATCAAGGCTGAGGACCGAGAGATGGAAAAGACTCCGGAGAAAGAAGACCTTGGGGACGACGACATCGATCCCGCCAACTTCCCGTTTTTTCAACAGTAACTCCCCGACTGAGATAATGTTTCGGGCTTTTCAGATCGAGGCTAAGATCTGTTATGATTGCTTATAGTCAGAGTTGGGGCATTCGGAGTGGAATATGATATGAGGGCTTAGCTACGGCAAACATCATACCGCAGAGCCAAGTATAACGACAGCAGAATGAATTCGTGATTCTAGCACCTCTAAAATTGGTTGCAAGCATTGGTGACTCGCCTAAATAAGTTGTAGTGATCTTGTCCTCGCAACCCGACTGGCAGTTGACGAGTGTCAGGCTTGAAGTCCCGAGCTCGAATGAAGATATCATGCCGTGTTAAGGATGAATCTGCGAGCTGCAATGCATAGATACACTCAACAGGCTCCAGACTTATCAGCTCTCTTTTGTGCGCAGTGTGACATTTGGACTTCGGCCTTTCTCACTGCCTGTTCTCGCTGCATATGCCCTGGCACCAAGCTATTGTCTCATTCACTTCACCTACCCAACTCGCCAAAATTCACCCTATTGTACTAACTACTGTGCATATAGGCTTGCATAAGCCCTGGGATTTCCACCGCAGTCTCTCAATATTTAAATCCACGGTCCCACCCTCCTCCGTCCCAACCTTTCCTCCTCCACCACACTCCTCTGCCAACACGCAGCAAGCAACTTTCATTGCTTGACAAGCTTGAGAATTTTCACAAATAACATCTTCCAAACACCAAACACCAATCACCACCAGTGTGTCACTCTTGTAATATGATATCTTCATGGTCATCTCTAACCTCACCGCAGATCAATCAACATGCCTCCCAAGAAGAGTGCCGACCAAGATGGTTCCCCCATCGGCCTCACTGATGGTGAACTCCGATTCATCAAGGCGATTTTCGACAACATGACGCAAAAGCCCGATGCTGACTGGGATGCTGTTGCGAACACCGTCAGTCTCAAGGACGCCAAGTGCGCCAAAGAACGCTTCCGTCAGATGTCCGTCCGTCATGGCTGGCGTAGCGATGGTGCTGGATCGGGCCCCAGCCCCCGCAAGCCCTCTACTTCGACCTCCAGCCCCAGAAAATCTCCTGCTGCTGTGAGAAAACCCAGAAAGACCACCACTACTCGCAGCCCCTCCAAGAAGTCCGCAAAGAAGGTCGATGAGGATGACGAGGAGGTTAAGGAGGAAGCTCAGTCGGAGGAGAAGAAGGAGATCAAGGCTGAGGCCGAGGATGATGACACCAACTAATGGATGAAATGATGGGAGCGAGGACATCGTATTGTCGACTATGCTTGGAAGATTCTCGAGAACCTCATATTAAGTCTAGGGGTAATACTGAAAGGATCTGGCTAGTCACTATCTGGAGGCACCGCTGAAATGAAGTTGAGACTTTGAGACACATCTAATTAATATCGCGCTAAAATGTGACTTCGGGTTTTGATCATAATCTGTAGAGAAAATCTGTAGAGCAAAATCTCATCCACTCTTTGGGCGGGAGAGTGGACGAGAGGTGGAGTGGCACTGCAACATCAAAAGCTGGGATGGAATCTTCACAGACCATAATTGGCATGGAATCACGAGCCAGAATTCTGGTAGATTTTCATCCATATCTTGTGCGCAAAATTATTGCTGGCCTGAGTTTGGTCTCTATGAGTTGCCGGGTTGACCTACCCCTGAATATTGCTCTTTTTTGGAATTTTTCTAGTTATCGTTTCTATATTCATATACCATGTTCGCTAAAGAAGCTTCGGTATAAGTACTCGTTATGTCAGATATAGCCCGTAGCAATGCCCGGGCGTAGCATTGAATCCTGTACGGTGTTTATGCCAGGGAATCAAGCTGGCAGCTGGCGACACTGTCAAGCGGGAACAACTCGACAGCAGATGAGCCTAGTTGTTCATAACTGAAGTCTCAGTATGGATTGTCTGTGCCACAGGGCTTGTTAACCTGGCTAATGCACAAAGAGTATTTCTCGTGCTGTTTGGTTGGTGCCGCTTCGTCCGATGTTGATGTTTGGCCAAAATACGCGTTGCCTGCTGCCACATCTGCCCTCTAGTCCCTCTCTGCTTTTCTCCCTGCTCTTTTCACTCCAGACAAACACATACTCTTCTTGTCTTGTCTCTCCCGAATAATTTCTTTCAACCTCCCATCATCTCAGTTTTGTGCCTGATCGTCGCACTCACTCACACCACAACACCAGACGACCACATTAGTCTCAAACACTGTAAGTTTACAAACTCGTCGCCTACACTTCGTCTTGACTCTTTAACCTGGCTTTGTATCGGGTCTCATCGCTCATTCTCATAGCCCAAACAACCGCCATCATGTCCAAGCAAGAACCTGCGGATCAGGTCAAGTTCCTTGTGTCCTGTATCGGACACACCAGCAACGGTCGAGTAAGTTCAGATCTCTCTTTTGTCTCATGTTACGCTGCTAACAAAAAAAGCCTGACTTCCAGGCTGTTGCCGAGGAGCTCAGCATCGTCTCCAAGGCGGCTGCGTAAGTTGACCTCCCTCCCCCTCCCCCTCCCCCTCCCCACATCGTCAACACTGACTCACGACGCAACAGTCAGAAGCGATATGAGCGAATGCTCAAGGCCCACGGCATCAGCCGTCCTGGTGCCCTCGCCAACGGCAATGGAGCTGATTCTGCCCCCTCAACTCCCAAGCGCAAGGCCAAGGCCGAAGGCGCCGGAAGTGCCAAGAAGCGAGCTACTCCTCGTAAGGCCAAGAAGGAGGAGTCTGAAGATGAGGAAGATGTGAAGCCCAAGACCCCTGCCAGCAAGAGTAAGGTCAAGAAGGAAGAGGAGAAAGACTCGGCTGATTCTACTGGCTCGCTTTCTGGTAGGTGTCCTCGATGTTTCGGTCGCGGAAATTTGCTAATTTTGACGATAGATGCGCCCGCTTCCGATGGTTCTTAAGGCCAAATCCAACGACCCAGTGCATGTTTATGAGGGTATTTGGGACAGCAGGATCATCATAGGTTTTATCTTGCCGATCTCATGAATAGCTAGATATCTGATTGGGATGTGACAGCGTATGCGCAGAGTTGGGGTATCAGGATCATGGATCGAGGATAATCTCGAGAGATGCAAGTAACAACGAAGGAAATGAATCTGTGCTTTTAAAATCATACAGTCACACTCAATTCTATATATTCGTGTATTCGCCTGTTAGTAGTGACTTGAGATTGTAATGCCTTTTACAATCTGGAGTGGTTGGTTGAGTATCCCCCCCATCCACATCTGACCTCTACCTCACCAGTCAAACCGTGGACATGACATATTGGGTGCACTCACCGGGAATGACATTCAATCGAATATTGCATTCAATTAAGCTCCTGAATTTTTAAAGCCAGTAATAGAGCCAGACTTGACATCTCCCGCCGTCTGCCAGGCACTGCCAGTGATGGCTTCAAGCCCCACTCCATAAATGCACCTCCTATTGTCACACTTGAGCATCAATTGAACAATAGTAATTCTGCCAGAATTTCCTATTGTATTTGGTACCGTCAATTAACGAATGGGGATATGCATGGTCTCCTCTATCCTCATGAAGGGGATCGTATCTCTTCTCTTCCCTCTCCCACACTCAGTATTAGTTCTCAATCTTCCTCCCACACTCATTCTCTTTGCAACAGCGAACTCCATCGCAGGCTTCGTTGCTTTCTGATTCTCCTTGGAAGACTCAAGACAAATCGAGTGTTTATTCTCTTTTGTAAGTACCTTACAGTGCTCTTCTTCTGCTATCTCAAGCTTATTCCCTCAAGGCACATTCACTTCAATCTTTGCTTATACCAAAGCACACAACACTTCTGCTTCATCCTTTGAGCTTCGCTGCTTGCTATTCGACAAGTCTTCCATCATGTTGGGTCCTACTCCAGCCCGTACTCCCCTCTCTTTCACTTTTGAGGACAGCGATTCTGGGTTTAATGCTGAGATGGCAATGCCTGATTACGAGCCCATGTCTCCTGTTGTCGCCAACCTTGAGAAGATGGTTGCCAATCGCAAGACCGTTCCTAGTGAGAGCGGCACCACTACCGAGACTATCAGCTCTTTTGGACGTGGCATCTCCAACAAGCGTAGCATCTCAAGCATGGACAGCACTCCCCCCGAGTCGCCCATTGAGGCTTTCCTCTCCCGGCCCGAGACTCCCAACTACCCTTACAGGAACTGGAACTCTACCGCTGCGTTTACCATGCGTAACGGCCAGGTCTACAGCTTTGGTCAGCTCCAGGTGATGTCTCTCCAAGTTGCTGAAGCCAGACGCAACGGAGAATTTCCTCCTACCAACGAGTCTACTCTCGATGCCAACGCTGTTGCCGAAGACTACGATTCGCTCATCTACCTTCGGCGCCTTCGTGGTAACCAACTTGCTCCTGCTCCTCAATCATACATCCACTTCCGCGAGCAGGTTGCACTCGGCATCCAGGTCCGCCAGGCATCTCTCAAGCGCGAGACTGATCAAGAAGTCGCTCGTCGAGTTGACCACTACCTCCAAGCTGTGGAAGCTGAGCAGCGATACTACAGCGCTAGTAACACCATAATCCAGCGTCGTGAGGTCACCAACCCTACCCAACAAGACTTCATCGACCCCCACGATGACATGTGCTCTATGGTCGAGCATACTATAGAGCAGGGCATCTCCGATGCCACTGGACCCCTCCGCATGAACGTTTCTAATCTCAAGAAACAAGGCGAAGTCTTCCAAGAGCAGACAGCCCTTATGCAGCAGCAGAACGACATGTTCCAGCGACAGACCGACGGGCTTGTCCAACAGCAAAGCGGCCTCCTTCGACAGCAGAATAACATGTTCCAGCGACAAGCCGAGCAACAAAACAGTCTTGTTCAACAGCAGAACAGTCTCCTGCGACAGCAAACCGACGTCTTCCAGCGCCAGACCGAGGAGCAAACCAAACTCTTCCAGCTACATGCGGACCAGCAGAATGACCTCTTCCTGCAGCAGCACAGCATGTTTCTGAATCACAAGGCTAGCCTTCGGGAACACAGCCGTTTCTTCAAGAAGCAGACCGACACTCTCGAGCAGCAAAACAGAGCCATGAATGCTTCCGTCACTCACTTGAGTAACCTTATCGAGCCCCAGATCTATAATAACCAGGCTACCGTCCAGACCCTCGCGTCTGCAAATCAGCTTTTCGCCGACTTGTCGCAACAGCTCCCCGAGACCATCCGATGCGCCGTTGAGGAAGCTTCCCAGAAACAAGCTCGCGAGCTCATTGAGCAAGCTCTTCATATCCAGCAGATGGCTATCGCCAACCCACAGCCGGATGCCAAAACCATCAGCGCCCAGGTCGAAGAGGCTGAGGAAAAGAAGGCCGTCGCTGTTGGTTCCGATAAGGCTGAACGAAGTGAGCGATCATCTCTCTACCGTATGGTGCGCAAGTTCAAGCGCCAGCGCATCTCTTCGTGAATGATTGGAGAGACGAGCAACAGAGGAGTAGCGGACCTCACCGTCTTGGGATGGAATACATTTGATCAATTTGATGTATGTAGTTACAAGGTCTGATTGACACTTGCTTTGCTCATTGAGTTGGCTGTACTCAAATAGAACTTCGATTGACTTCGCATTTTGATCAGTCTTGACGAAGACTTGATTGTTTTGACTTGAATGGGATATCCAATGTGATGACGACTTATGTGACACTCGGCAACATTATGACTGCTCTTGGCTTCAACTATTCATTGCTTACGTCAATTTCAATATCCTCAATCTGAAGGCATTGAGTTGCTGTCCTTTTGCCTTGCTCATCTTGGAGTTTCTGTCTGGGATAGTCAACCCGATATTCCTCGCCAACTCAAGCTGATTAGACAATCACATGACATTATATACCTTAATTAGATATGTGACACAGTTTCAAACATTAAAAGTTGTATCATTTAGTGCCAGTAACCTACCTACCTATCTTATGAGTATAGGATACTTGATAGCATAAATCTTAAAAGCACAGTCTCAGTACCCTCACTCGATCTACCCAGACAGCTTACACTGTTGAGCCCCATGGAAAACGAGCGAACCCCAGATGGGTCATTTGTCATGCAACATCGGGCAGTGGAGTCGTTCACCGTGGAGCAAGCATGCTTGCGCTGAGAGAGAGTCTCGGTCTGGAGATCGAAAGCCGCTCGTGATCCGTCAAAAGCCAGTTCTGTATGCCGTCCTCGGCTATGGCGCCGGTAATAGGAATTCCAGGCCTTCGGATGCCCCATCTTCAGGCCTTCCAGGGCATTTAGCAGCGAGTCTCACAGACGTCGTTGGAAAGGTGTAGAAATCGATGGCAGGGGGCGCTAGTACGTATCAGGGCTAGCCTCGCAGCTGGGTTTTGCCGAGACCGACACTCCGACCGACGGGGACGATTCCATTTTTTTGAGAGCTTCTCAGTCGCCATCATATCAACCTTTTGTCTCCCTCACTCTATCCCTCTCCTCCTCTGACTCTGACTCGTCCGTCCTACATCCCCAGGTCGAATTCCTCACGAGCGTTTCTCTTTTTTCTCCTTTGCTTGTAATTCTCCCCATATACCCCTTCCTAATTCCACAATCATGCAGCGCGCATTGAGCACCCGGGCTCGGGCTTCCGTCCTCTCCTCAGCGGCTACCAAGTACCGAGCTGGCAGCCTCAGCCAGCAGGTCCGATTTGCTCACAAGGTATGATGATACTACGACGTCACAAGATTCCAATTGTATACTAATGCACTGTATAGGAGCTCAAGTTCGGTGTTGAGGGCCGTGCTGCTCTCCTCGCTGGTGTCGATACTCTTGCTAAGGCTGTTGCTACTACCCTCGGTCCTAAGGGCCGAAACGTCCTCATTGAGTCCAGCTTTGGATCTCCCAAGATCACCAAGGGTTCGTAGAAGCTCCATCGATCATTTCCAGGCTTTCAACTAACTTATTACAGACGGTGTGACCGTTGCCCGCGCCGTCAGCCTCAAGGACAAATTCGAGAACCTCGGTGCCAAGCTCCTCCAAGATGTTGCTTCCAAGACCAACGAGGTTGCCGGTGACGGTACCACCACCGCTACCGTCCTCGCCCGTGCCATCTTCTCTGAGACTGTCAAGAACGTCGCCGCTGGCTGCAACCCTATGGACCTCCGCCGCGGTATCCAGGCTGCTGTTGAGGCCGTTGTCGAGTTCCTCCAGAAGAACAAGCGTGATATTACCACCAGCGCTGAGATCGCTCAGGTCGCCACCATCTCCGCCAACGGTGATGTCCACATCGGCCAGATGATTGCCAACGCCATGGAGAAGGTCGGCAAGGAGGGTGTCATCACCTGCAAGGAGGGCAAGACCGTTGCCGATGAGCTCGAGGTCACCGAGGGTATGCGATTCGACCGTGGCTTCGTCTCCCCCTACTTTATCACCGATACCAAGTCCCAGAAGGTCGAGTTTGAGAACCCTCTCATCCTCCTTTCCGAGAAGAAGATCTCTGCTGTTCAGGACATTATCCCTGCTCTTGAGGTCTCCACCCAGCAGCGACGACCTCTTGTCATCATTGCTGAGGACATTGAGGGTGAGGCTCTCGCTGTTTGCATTCTGAACAAGCTCCGTGGCCAGCTCCAGGTTGCCGCTGTCAAGGCCCCTGGCTTTGGTGACAACCGCAAGTCCATCCTCGGCGATCTTGCTATCCTCACCGACGGCACTGTCTTCACTGATGAGCTTGATATCAAGCTTGACAAGGCCACCCCTGACATGCTCGGTTCTACCGGTTCTATCACTATCACAAAGGAGGACACCATTGTCCTGAACGGCGGTGGCAGCAAGGATGCTATTGCTCAGCGATGCGAGCAGATCCGTGGCGTCATTGCCGACCCTACCACCTCTGAGTATGAGAAGGAGAAGCTCCAGGAGCGTCTCGCTAAGCTCTCTGGCGGTGTTGCCGTCATCAAGGTTGGTGGCTCTTCCGAGGTTGAGGTCGGCGAGAAGAAGGACCGATTCGTCGATGCCCTGAACGCCACCCGTGCCGCCGTTGAGGAGGGTATTCTGCCCGGTGGTGGTACTGCCCTTATCAAGGCCTCTGCCCACGCTCTTAACGAGGTTCCTACTGCCAACTTCGACCAGCAGCTCGGTGTCAGCATCGTCAAGAACGCCATTACCCGCCCTGCCCGAACCATCATCGAGAACGCCGGTCTTGAGAGCTCCGTTGTTGTCGGCAAGCTCACTGACGAGCACGCTGGTGACTTCAACAAGGGTTTCGATAGCTCCAAGGGCGAGTACGTTGACATGATCAACGCCGGTATCCTTGACCCCTTCAAGGTCGTCCGCACCGGTCTGATCGATGCTAGCGGAGTTGCCTCTCTTCTGGGTACCACTGAGGTTGCCATCGTTGAAGCCCCTGAGGAGAAGGGAGCTGGTGGTCCTCCTATGGGTGGCATGGGCGGCATGGGAGGAATGGGCGGCATGGGAGGTATGATGTAAAAGACGGAATGATATGACTTTATGTTGTGCTGTATCACTAAAAAAGCTGGACGGATGAATGGCGCACAATGGTTTGCGTGTTATCTTGGGACGGGTAAAGTGGTCTTGCAAGCTCATCTCCTCTCTATCGGTTGTCGGGCCACGGCATTTGTCTTCATACCCCTTACGGATTTTCAGGCTAGATTTTGAAAGCCATGTATTATAGCATTGATTGTAGCATTAGCATGAAAAGATATGAGATACTAAAAGTTAAAAAGAAAGGCAAGAATGAAAAACATTGAAACACCTGGTGTCTTGACTTGTATGTGACTTGACTTGACATTGGTTGTACTGTAAATGTACTTTGAGTACATAACGACTGATATGTTTGCATTGGGGTCCCTTGTGTACCTATGTAAGGCAAGCTCCGAGTCGCGGAGACAAGAGGTGACGAGTTACGACAAGGGTGAGTTTCGAGGTCTCAAGAGCAGACACCAACAGTAGATAGCCTCATAAGGAAGAGATACCATTGCATATGTATACAAGACCTGAGTTTAGTATACCTGGATACAAGGCAAGAAAGATACCTACCAATATAACTCGTGTCGCATTCAAACAAGTAGTTACCTACTCACCTGTAGGTAATGCTCTAGGTACCTACTGACATACACTCTTGTCCAGTCACGTGAAGCTATCCTTACAGGCAACCCCCACCAAGAGGACCCAAGAGAGGGGAGAGTCGACTCAAGTTTCTCCCGCAACGGCCCCGCCTTTCTATGGGACAATACAAGGCAATTCTCTCTTTCTACCGCCTAAACCGAACTAACCCAACACTCTCACGCCCGTTTCCATCGACTTTGTCCTTTTGCTTCGCTTCGCTCTGCATCGTGAGATTGTCGATTTTCTCTCCTACACTTCAATCCACTCTGTACGTACGCCGAGAGCCTCTTGCTCTCCTCCACCCTCTACCAACCCAAATCTTTCATCCTCTTACAGCCTGTACTTGAGGTCTAGCTAACTCAGAGCTCCCCCGCCAGCCCATCCACCCCTCATCCTAAACATCCCGTCTCCTGACGTAGACCGCCGCAATCATGGTAAGCTCCCCTATAAAGCCACCACCAAAAATATCCTGAATCTAATGATAATCCACAGTCTCAATCCGGGTTCGTCTTGCCACTCTCTTCTTCAGCTATTTGATCCTCGTGCGCCCATAAAATCTTCACTTCCCCGCGGCTGAGCCTCGCTTCGCTGCTCATCTCCCCCTCCCCCCTCGACCATGATTATGATTATGACGCCTGACGCGGGGCAAACACGCAACAGCTACCAAGACGCATTATTTGAGACAATGGCGCTAACATTAAACTTTGCTTTTTTCGAAATACAGTGCCACCGTTTCGCAGGACTGCATAACTGCCTTCAACGACCTGAAGCTTAACAAGAAGTACAAGTACATCGTCTACAAGCTTTCCGACGACTACAAGGAGATCGTTGTCGAGCACGCCTCCGACAACAGCGACTGGGAGGACTTTCGTGAGAAGCTCGTCAACGCTACCTCCAAGAGCCGAACTGTACGCATGCCAATCCGACGAATGTAGAATGAGGTCGAATCACCAATTCTAACATCTACTGTAGGGCGCTGTTGGCAAGGGTCCCCGTTACGCCGTCTACGACTTCGAGTACAGCCTGGCCTCCGGCGATGGTATCCGGTACGCAGCCCTCCCCCAGCCTGCACGTGGCCCTATTCAATACCCCTAAATCACTGACAATCGGACAGAAACAAGATCACCTTCATCGCCTGGTCTCCCGATGATGCCGGTATCCAGGTACGTAGACACGCGATATTGCTTGGCAATGTGTCTCATTCAGGCATCCACTAACACCCAACTGCAGCCCAAGATGATCTACGCTTCCTCCAAGGAGGCTCTTAAGCGATCGCTCACTGGCATCGCCACCGAGCTGCAGGCCAACGACACTGATGACATCGAATACGACTCCATCCTCAAGACCGTCAGCAAGGGTCTTGCTGGTTAAGCGCGCTGTCACCGACTACCCAACCGCCGCCCGCGCTCCCATATAGAAGTGGGTGGACATGGAATTTGAACATACCTATGGCTGTTTCAAGAGTTGAGACACCAAAACAAGCAAATGAGTAGGAGTGCATAGTGAGGGGGTGGAACAAACGCGCGGGGATCATGAAATGTTTCGTTTCCTCCAAGGACGCCAGCCAATGAGTTTGCTTCTGGGGGCGAGACTTAAATTCGCACAATTGCCGACACTGACCATGTATCGTACGTACCACGGGAAATAAAACCGCATGCTGGTATGTGGCAACTATTGGCATTTTATCATCTATCTATTCGAGTGTCTTTGTCATGCTCTCATTGCTGCCAAATATCGTCACCTTCTATGGGTTTGCTTGACTCGACTCCCAACTTGATTTGAAAAGCTCAGAGAGACGTTCGGCCTCAGCTTCGTCCTTCAGTCGTTGCATCAAGAATCCTTTCAGGTCACTCCAGAAGGCCTCCGTCTGTAAGGCTTGGGCGCCTACGGGTTGGGCCTCAGGGGTGGCCTCAGGCTCTTCAGGTGGAATAGCAGCGGCACCTCCAATAACCATAACCGTAAACTCAATAGACATATCCGTCTCGCCTAGTAGGTCCTTAAGAATCTTGCTGTCAGGGATAGGCTTCTTGTTGTGCAGCAACTTAGTCTTAGTGGGGGGTATCCTTGTCTGCTTCTCGATATTGGCCTTGATATCCAGGATTGAAGTGTCTAGGGGTTGAGAAGTGAGCTTGATGCTCAGAGGAGGGTTGCGAAGTGACTTGAGTGACACAGTGATGCTTCGTTCGGAACCGGGAGCGATGTTGTTGGGTTTGCTCATGGCCTTGGGCATGCGGGGGATGATGTACTAGAGCTGGTATTAGCATGTGTCCTGGAGGAAGAGTAGCAAGTCCATACAGGTGGCCGAGCAGGGTAAGTCTTGGGGTCTTCGACATGGTCCGCAGAGAGTCGGACAGGCCGCGACTCTAGAGACACCATAAATGTTTGGGCGAAAGCGGTTTCAGACATGATGATGCCTTCGTTGTGGTAGGCTGTTAGCTCGAGGGAGGTGGGGTTGAGCGGCGATAATGGGTGCGGAGGTGAGAATGTTGAAGGGTAGTAGAGAGAGTCTTTTGAGGGCTCTAAAATTATAGTAAAGATGTTGCTAGCCTCTATCTTGTAACAACAGGAACTGATCAATAACTTAGTAGGTAGCCAGCTTTGCCAACCATCGTCATTCAACACACCCAACAGCAAGCTCAAGCTGCCCACAAACGATTACATAAGGCACCTTTCTGGCGATCCGATACGAAGTTCTGCCGCTTATCGGACCCTGGTAATCGCAGCGCGCGCAGAAAAAAGTTTCGGCGGGGCGCGATCTATTGTAACTTTTCCTAGGCCCAAGAACCAAGACCAGATCTATTTTGCATCTCGGTCCAACTAATCTCTTGACAAGTTTTCAATTGTTGTTCATTCCAGTTCAAAATGGGTGTCGGACGTCGTATGAAGAAGCAGGGTCCTCCTCAACCCCTTTCCGAGGAACACTTTGCAAAACTCAAGCGCAAGGCCGGTCTACCTGTCGATCCCATCGTCGAGGCGCCCGAGAAGAAGAAGCGAAAGACCAACACCAAGGAGAGGACGGTCATCGAGCCCAAGAGAAATGGCGTCGCCGCTAAGAAGGATGTCAAGAAGGCAAAGGTTACCAAGCCTGTAAAGGCTGCGGCGCCTGTTCCAGAGCCAAAGGCCAATGGCAAGGTGAAGAGGAGCAAGAAAGCCCCGGCGCCGGCGCTGGAGGACGTGTCCGATGAGGAGATGGACGATGAGTTTGACCTTGAAGATCTCGAGGACGATTCGGATCTGGGAGGCGGCGCCGGACTCGGCGACGATTTCCTCGGTTCGGACGATGATGACTCTGTATTCGACTCTGACGAAGACGCTGGAGGCAAGAACACGAAAGCCATGTTCTCTGAGGACGAGGACGAGTCCGACGCCGAGGAGAAGCTCACAGCCGCCAACATTGCGGGTCTTTCAAGGAAATTGGATGCTCAAAGGGCAGAGGAAGCTGCCGAAGCAGAGGCTGAGATGGCACAAGAGGCTCTCCAGACCAACATCGATGGCGACAAGCCTCATATTCTGTCCGATGAAGACAGCGACGATGAGCTCTCAAAGAAGACAAACGCCCTCCTAGCCCCGGACTTGCAACTTCTACGAACAAGAATCACCGAGAACATCCGCGTCCTTGACGACTTTGCCAATCTGTCCGAGGAGGGTCGTTCAAGAGTCGAGTATACATCACAACTTATCAAGGATATCTGCTCTTACTATGGCTACTCTGAGTATCTCGCTGAGAAGCTCTTCAACCTCTTCACCCCCCGTGAGGCTTTCGCTTTCTTTGAGGCTAACGAGTCGGCTCGTCCTGTCGTCATTCGCACAAACACTCTGCGCACTCATCGTCGTGATCTTGCTCAGGCACTTATCAACCGTGGTGTTACTCTTGAGCCCGTCGGAAAGTGGTCCAAGGTTGGCCTCCAGGTCTTCGAGAGTAGCGTACCTCTTGGAGCTACTCCTGAGTATCTTGCCGGCCACTACATTCTCCAAGCTGCTTCCTCTTTTTTGCCTTGCATGGCTCTTGACCCCCAGGAGAACGAGCGCGTGCTCGATATGGCCGCTGCTCCCGGTGGAAAGACTACTTACATGGCTGCCATGATGAAGAACACCGGTATCGTCGTGGCTAACGATCCCAACAAGGCTCGTGCTAAGGGTCTTATCGGTAACATTCACCGTCTTGGAACACGCAACGTCATTGTCTCAAACTACGATGCCCGTGAGTTCCCCAAGCCTATGGGTGGTTTCGACCGTGTTCTTCTCGATGCTCCCTGCTCTGGAACTGGTGTTATTGCAAAGGATCCTAGTGTCAAGACCAACAAGACAGAGCGCGACTTCATGCAACTCCCTCATATTCAAAAGCAGCTTGTTCTCGCCGCCATTGACTCGGTCAACCACAGCTCCAAGACGGGCGGCTACATTGTTTACTCAACCTGTTCCGTCACCGTTGAGGAGAACGAGCAAGTTGTTCAATACGCCCTCTCTCGTCGTCCAAATGTTCGCCTCGTCGACGCTGGTCTCGCGTTTGGAAAGGAGGGCTTCACCAGCTACATGGGCAAGAAGTTCGACCCCTCTATGCGCCACACCCGCCGATACTACCCTCATACTTACAACGTAGACGGTTTCTTCGTTGCCAAGTTCCATAAGATCGGCCCCACGCCCGCCAACGCCTCCAACGCTCGTGACCGTTCGACTGGCCCCGCTGATGAGGACGAGGTCATCGATAGAACACCTATCGCCACAGATGATGAGGAGACAGGCAAGACGAAGCCCGACGACGACTTTGGCGGCTGGGATGAGGAGGAGGATAAGGAGTACATGGAGAAGGGACGAAGAAATGCCATGCGCCGAAGGGGTCTGGATCCTAAAAGTAACAGCAAAAAGGCAAAGAAGGAGAAGGAGATCACAAAGCAGAAGTAGATACCAACTGCTCAGCCATTCGCGGGAGTTTCTTGTTCTAAAAATGGTTACGGGTTTGGCGACTATTAGTGTTGTTCACGTAGAGGGTTTTTCATATCATACGCTAGATAATAAACAAAAGTGTTTGGAGTCCATTCATATCACCACAGTTTCAACTGCAAGGGCATTCTCGGTTTGTTATAAGCATCTCATTTGATATAAAATCTAATTAAACTACAAAAGAAATGAATAAAAGAATGTCGTGGCTGATAAAGCAGGTCGTAAAGTTCATCTCGTCATTAAATAGCCCAGCTTCCCAGCCGTAAGGGGGTTTTGCCGCTGGCCGCCATTTTTTCTATCATTCCCCAGAACCCAAAGCCAGCCCAACCCTGTTTTGCCATATAGTACATGGTCGTCATCAATATCCCTTGGCGCTGGCAAAAAAACAAAATAGTGCAACAGAAATATCAAAAACCAGAGTGAGTCATGTCGACCCAAACCACCCGGGTATCCTATTCAGCCGTAATCCCTTCATGACAACCAGTTGTTTGTTCCATAAATCGTGTAAGTGACTCTGCCATATTGTGTGTATCCACAATTGCTCGGCATCGTGAGTGTGCGTATTACAAGTTGTTGCTTAACAGTGATGCCGAAGAAGTGTAAACCGCCGTGTGAGGCTCGAGTTTTCTTTCTCACATTGCCAAATCGTCAAACTGTGAGACAAGCTCGCGTATCGTCCAACGCCAAGTTTCGCGATCTCTGGATCCTCGGCCGATCCATTTCTCGCACTTCTTTCTCCACCGATCTTCTTCTTCTCGTTGTCGCCTGATGAATTCAGGCCCAACGTCAAATTCTTCGCCGACGAGCCACTCATCCTTGATGTCGCTAACGCGACCCTGGGCACCCTCGTCGTCAGCAGTGTTGTCTTCCAAGTCAGGAATATCCTTGAAGACGTCTTCGTCGTCCAGCGCGTCAAAGCCATCCATAGTGTCGCTGGTCTCAGAGGTAGGCTTGGCAGGGTTATCAAGCTTAAGCCAGCACATGTTCTGTGGGTCAAAAACCATGCCACCGACAACTTGAACGCCCTTGGTGGCGCTAATATTGGTAATGAGTGCAGGACGAGGTGTCGACGTTTCCTTCTCGCGGGTATGGCTTGACACAACCGCTTGAGTAGGTGTTTGTACAGGGGCTTCAAAGACATTGAGAGCGTTCTCATTGCCTTCCCATCTGTATGTGTCTGCATTATAGAACATACCATTCACCACTATTGTTTTTGTTAGCGATAATATCAACGCCATGTTTGGCAAACTTACTCTTCGACTCTTTGCCACTGTTCAGGTTTGAGATTAGGTGTGGCTTGGTCTGTTGTGGTCGCTTGTGCTTTCTCGATCGAATGTTTGACTGAGGAATGGTAGGAGTCAAATTGCCTCGCGAGGAAAGGTGAGCGACACGCTGGGAGTTTAGAGGCGTCAACGGGCCACTGCTAGGAA